CAAATCGGCTAAATAAACAAAAAGAAACGCTTTTGTTTCTTACGATGTTTTAGTTTTTAGCATCTACCTTTCGTTTTTATTAATGACTCTTAAGTGAACAAGTCGTAAAGCGGCTGGTATAATCGGCCAGTTTGCTTGAGGCTAAGTTCTTAGGGAGTTTGTGTAACTCACGGTTTCTTATTTTATATGAACATAATTTTATTAATAAACAGTCAGTCTTAGAGTTAGGTATGGATTTAAAGTCGATTACCCTTTTTCTTAGCAATCCAGATAAGAAAGGCAGTATTCTATTTAATAGACAGTAATTATTTTTCTTTAAGCCTCAATTAATCGTTTAATGTTTGAATTATTCATTTTTCATACAGTTACGAATATAACGGTACTGTAGGGCGCATATTGCGAGGACAGTACCCCACGCCCTCTCGCTGTCAACGATAGCGCAAGCCACGAAAGGCAGCGAGACGTGGTGTCACACGATAGCGCACAGCTCTCGGCGCTACTCCATGAGGACCAGGTTTCTAAGAGTAGTTTTTCACGGTGGTAGGGCCACGCAGCAGCCTCGGATGTTGCACGAATGGGGCAGGCTCGTCCGGGTAAGTACCACAACCTCAAAGAAGACCGGCGTAAAGTGGAAGTATAATACTCTCGCGTTTCGTCTGGTGAGTGATGTGGCCGGAGCCCAATTTTCAAAAGGTTGTCGACGCATCTGGCGCTCTCGGGTGTAGCGGATGTCCATGGGCGGCGGTATTCACTTAACATCAGGTGAACCGACTGCTCGCTTGGAAACTTTTCACATGCACGCAAGACCTTATGCCGGCTGTAATTCATCTGTCATTTGACAATAAACAGAATTATAATGCATTGATGCCAGTTTCGTCATTACTGCAAAATTGTCCGGAAACATTTAAGTTGCAATATATAGATATATATACTATATATATATATATATAAGTAAAAGTAACGTAACAGTCTATACATGTCCGACTGCTGGGCAAAGGCCTCCTCTATACAGAGGGTATCATTTTTTTTGTTATTATTTCGAAAATATGCAGGTTTCCTCACGATGTTTTCCTCCACCGCGGAACACGTGATAAGTCAGCACTTAAAGTTAAAAACTTCATTGGTGCCGGCACCGGGGATCGAACTCAGGTTGCTCGAGTATATTGAATTAAAGGCGAGCGCCCGGACACTGACCTATTACGGCTATATATATATATATATAAATGAATCCCTATTTCCCTTGGTCACACCCTCAGGCGCGAATGGCTGGACCGATTACACATTTTTTTTGTTGTATTTATTATTATCAAAAGAAGGTTCTTACAAAAGAAAAAAATTTAAAAAGTATTATTATAGGTTGTTGTAACGTATTAAAACTGACTTCTTGATTTTACGCGAATATTATACATATTTTAATTTTGATTTTGTAATTCCCGACGACTCATTCCACTGTTCATGGTCCCGTGACCAGAAAGGCTGGAACATATTAAATTTTTTTAATATCGCGTTAATAAACTGTGTTTTCAGCATACGAAAATGCGTATTATACGTACATTATTGTATGCTAAGTTATATACATAGCATACAATGTTGTCTTATTAAGAATTCGTAATTATTTCATCTTGTATGGAATGATGATGATTCAAGCTAATGATTTTGTCATAGCGACTGAAAGTGTCAGCTAGTATATTATATCCCACTTCTGGGCAAAGACCTCCTCTGTACCATAGGGTATTGGGACTTAGTGCAACCCTACTGCAAATTGGTAGACTTCACATTCTTCTTCGAACTTTCTTTTGAAAGTTTCCTCACGTAGTTTTCCTTCACCACTATGCACATAAGTCAGCATTTAAAATTGAAGTTAATAATTTCATTGGTGCTGGCACCAGGTTTTGAACTCAGGTTGCTCGAGTATACTAATTTAAAAGAGGCCGGGCGCCCAGACACTGATCTATTATCAAATTTATTAATCATTTGATTTGCACTTCGTGAGTCTAATAAATTCTATCCCGCAAGATAGTATGAAGATACGAATATAAAGAAGTTCTCGTTCCGAATCCTCGTAACATGTATATAATTGTTAATACTTAAGATTTTGCCAGCAAATGGATACTTAGAACACAAGCTTGTGTCATTTGGCGGCTAGGATACGCTTACATCAAGCAGTGAAGAAACAAAGGCTGGTGACGGGGATGATGTATATAATAATATATAACATTTGTTTAGATTATTGACAAGTAGTACTTTCTGAGGTGACCAAAGAACATTCAATTGGTTTAACATTTCTCTTAACGTGACCTTAGTCACGTTAAGAGAAATTTCGAACAAGAATGTAAAATGTGTTGATTCTTTCATTAGTATGAAGCCTAAACAGAAGATGTTAAAGTCAATTATTAAAGTACAGACGACTTTTACTTTTCGTAAAATTCGCAACTGAAACGGAAAATGTTACGCTGGTAACTATTTCATTCTTTCCACGTTTTAATTTCTTTGGTGCTTCTTTATTAAAAATACTCTGTTCCAACGTTCATGAAATGAAGATATAAATAACAAAATAAGCTTCTCGCAATAATTGCTCTTGAAGCGCACTAATTTTCCCTTCATTGAGCTTGAAGCATTTCTTTGAAAGTGGGGCAAGCGAACGCAGCGACGGAACAAGAAAACGTTTAGCTCGGAATTTTTATTCGTTGAGTTATTCGGTCTCAAATCATGGGGAACAAATAGAGAACGAACGCAGTAATAATAATAGTGAACTGGTTTCGCTTTGTTTGGTTTTGAGAACAACTTTAACGAAATAATAAAAATACGAGAGTTCCCAATTAACTTGATAAAGATTAATAATTAAATTAATTTAAAGCCGACTAAATCAATCCTTAAATAAACGAGTTGAACGATTACCCAATGACACAGATCCTCAATTGAAATTCAAAAGATATCAGTCTTCATATCAAGACGGATATCTTTTGAATTTCAATTATCTACTATATCTGTCAAAAGATATCAGTCAAAGATTTCAATTATTATTTTTTAATTTCAGTTAAAAAATAAGAATACATAGACTGTAGAGTGCTGATAGACGGCACAGGCATTTCATTTAATGTCTGTACGGACCAGATGAGGCGGTGTGCTAATCTGAAATAGGCAAAGAACAGAATAGTATGTTTTCGGCTAAACCTCTTCTCAACATCTTTGGTCTGTCTTCAAAAACAAATGGGCAATCTTAGTTTGTTTATTCTCCAACAAGTCTCATTAATGAAATTAACTATTCTTCCTCTTAACTATCGTTATATAGTTTATTTTTAAACATATCGCTCCAACTTATATTTCTACAATTGATTGATTTCATGATTTTCAATTGAAATTTTCTAATTTAATTTTATTATGTTGATTATTTTCCAATTTAATTTTAGTTATTTTATTCTTTGCACTTGCCTAAAGATCTCACCACACCGTAGGTTGACTGGCAGAGGAGAATGCCTAAAGGCATTATAAGTCCGACCATTGTGTTCCGTATTTAATGAAATGCAATAAAGACTAAATAAAATGAATAAATTGACTGAAAGATGTCAGACTTGCTTATTTAAAACTTGCCTTATTGTAACTGGCAGATTTTTTATACCTTCAGATGCTGCCCGTTTACTTACCTTAAGTTCCATAAAGTCATTTTATCATTAGACCTCAAATCATTATACTAGCTTTTAAAATAAAGAACTTTAAAAGTTTCATTAAGTCGGCAGTAATCAGCAAAAACATTAAAAATGTTTTAGCTGATTTTGATTAAAAATATTATTATGACTAAAAGTATATGAGATTTAGCGTATATAGGTGAATTTAATCAAGACAACTTATGATTTAGTAGCTGTATTAAAATTCACAATAATAAAAGAAATAATAATGAGCGTTGCTCAGTAATGACTTCCGCGAAGGTTAAAGAAATTGAGTTTTCCACGAAACTTTTATGCACGAAGAACTCTCGGGAAACTTGATCACAAAGCCATTGTGATCTCGGTACGTGCTCCGAATATTGAAGGTGTACTCAAACCACCCTTCTTGGAAGTATTTTACTTACAACCCGAATAAGCAGCGACTGCATAAAGGCAAAATATAAGGTATCATTAGGCGAGGGAAATAATACTGTGCTTGGAAATGATTGGGATAAGAGTGGAAAATTTACAAGAGCTTTGTGTGATATACGAGCTTTGTGCGACGGGTATTATTTCCTTCTTTAACTTATTTTGATTTAAGAGTTGAAGGTGGCGCAGAAGGGTTCCGAAATAAACACCAGAATCCCTAATGAGCATCACCTCTTTATAGCCTTCTAAGTTAAGTTCCTCCAGAATTGATCTTCTTCAAGTCGCGACAATTATAATTACGTTTCCCTTGAGGGTTCCTTGGGACTGTTTCCATTTGATGATTATAAGGTAGGATTTGAAGGGAAACAATACCACACTTCCCTACTAAAATTATACGAGGGTATTTCTCAGCATTCTGATGACTGTTCAATGACGATTATGTTGAGCTAGTCGGTGAAGGAAACACAGTCCGTTCTCACCTCAGAGTAGTATCTGGAATTTCGGTTACGAAACGTACGTATTAAAGTATGGCCATGCAACAGTCTTCGAAAGAAAGGGCAGGTCCATCAGGGAGTTACCACGACCTGATAGAAAAACGGCGTGAAGTGTTGTTCTTCTGCTTTTCTTCTGGTGAACCACTTTTAGAGGTGGCAACGCCCCCACTTTAAAATTTCCAACAGGTGTTGCAAATGTCCATGGGTAATGGTTATTACTTAACATCAGGTTAACTACCGGCTCGCTTGCCATCTTCTCACATAAAAAATTAAATAAACTTACCTTGGCATAGATTTCTTTCAACATATTGTGTGATATTGGTCTATGAAATAATGAAAAAAAGTTAGAACTCATATTACTTTATCATAATTTATTTGCAAAACCTTTCCTTCCTCCTTTCATCTTGGGTAGAAATTATTACCGATATTATTATGATGACGTCAACTGCATTTTGTATTTCTGTGAAAAGATAATGTTGTTTTCAAAATCCACAGTCGGTGTTTTTACACGCAGATGATAGTTAACGGTTTTTTTTATTTACAATGGAGGATTACGTATTCAAAAGTGATTGTATGTTACACAAATTAGAGCAGCTTGTTTGGTAACAAATTATTTAATGGTCTTGGTAGTAGGCATTTGGATCTAATTTTAAATCGGACGCTGAATTGATTTTCGAAATTACTTGAAAATCGACGTTGGGCTCAACTAGAAATCAGACTGACTGCTTACGAAGCGACAGGTGTTTCATTGATCGATGTTTTATAAGAGACCCCATCGAGCTCACTTTCAGATCTTATGTGTTAACGACAAAAAATTCAATAACAAATGAAGAATTTGAAACATGTAATTAAAGTTTCATAATGAGATAAATTTTCGAGTGGAGGTTTCCTCAAGTTTATTTTCACGTGTACAGTTTAATTTATTTCCCAATAAAAGTATTCCTCGTTCCCACGCAAGATTTTATACTAAATTACAAAATTTAACAACCAATATCATCATCATCATTTCAGCCTGTTTGAGTCGACTGCTGAACATAGGCCTCCCCCATAGACTGCCACGAAGTACAATCCTGAGCCACCTGCATCCATCGACTTCCCGCACATTTGCACAGGTCGTCACTCCATCTAGTGGGGGGTCGTCTCACACTGCGATGGCCAGTACGAGGCTGCCACTCGAGAATCTTTCTTCCCAACGGTTATCGGTTCTACGAGCTATATGGCCGCACCATCGCCACTTCAGACATTCATCCACCAATATAAATCATTCTTATATGTAATGTGATAGCATGAGAATATAAAAAAAATCTACTTACATCTGCAAGATATCCTAGCAAATAATTAGTATCTCCTATCGTGTGATCAGCGAATTGGTTTATATCATAAACAGCCCAGTTCGAGTTCAAATAGTTAATCTTCAAAAGATTGACAACGAAAACTTCGAAATGCTTCTCCTCGTCCTCACTGTCCTCATAGTGTCTGTTATAGTCATACTGGAACTTCTGGAACAACCTTTCGGCGTCTTTCAGATCGTACCATGGTTTCTCATTTGCCGCCACGCTGTATGCAATAACCGCCAGGATTACCAGTAACATGTACTTCAAATAGTACATTGTTTTACAAGCGTTAAATTGCGCTTAATCTGCCTTTTATACGTGCGCCGTGCAAGTGGAGCAAATTTTAATTATTTATGGCATGCATTATGAACCTAATCGCTTATGATATAGGGAAAAGCTTATCGTTATTCATCGTACTCGTGTAGAAACAATACACTGAAATGAATTTTAAGTAAAGAAATAATGCGCATAATGTTCACTAGTTTTATTTTTTTATAATACTAACTCAATCAAATAAAAATAAGAGCGCATACTTGAGTAAATATTTTACGTTCACCTATTAAAGTAAATACTTAGATTTTCAAAACCAGATATTGTCAAAACTAGAAAATATTGAAGAGTAAATTATCACCTTAATATTATTGTCCTTGCCTCCGCACAACACTTTTTAATCAAAATAGGTATGCAATGATTTCGGAATTCTTTATCTTTATATAACCTCAATCTTATACCTTATAAAATGTAGCAAATAACCTTATAACGTATTTTGTTTAAAATTATCATGTTTCTTTAAATAAAGGGTTTGTAGGTACAATAGCATTACAGATAAATATACGTTGGATCCGAGACAACTAAACGAGCAAAAACAAAGGCGGGATTAAATTACATCGTCGATATAACTAGTCGGTATTTTAATAGGGTAACATTATTTTTAATCTTTAGACTTGCTTGTAATTTAGTACGATTCTCGCCTATTAGCAAAATATTCAAGAATTACTATGTTATTACTTCACTGTGTGCTTCGACTGGAATAAAGTTTTCTAACCGTGAATTCTAACGTAAAATATTTGAGCACTTTCGTATGACGAAGTCTTAAGTCTTTCTTAAATGTATGTTTGTTATTGAATACGTAAAATTTGGTGATATTGTTAAAAAGTCATTTAGATTAAACGTTAACATAACGCAGGTCCTCGAAGTTACCATCAACCGTTCTCAATTCCTTTTGTATACGGATATATTTCAGATAGGATACATCGTGGATTTCCGTGCGGCGTCTCCCAACGTTAATTTGCATACTTAATGAGAGTTAAGTCGATCCGATATGTAGTTTGTGGTCATGCCGCAGTTAATGGGTGCTTAAACGAAATTGGAGTGTAAGCTTGACGGGTAAGACGCGAAGTTAACTGTAACCTTTCACGAGTAATGTTTAGGTGACTATCCTTGATAAGAATTTAGTTGCGATGACTGGATTTTTTCTCATGTTAGTGAGTTTTGGTTGTTCGGCCTAAGTCAGATATTAGATCAATTTTTGTGATTAGGTTGGTGTGGAGTTTATTTTTTACTCTTATTATAACTTTTATTTTTTGTAATCAAAAAATAAAAGTTATAATAAGAGTAAAAAATAGACGTCCGTAGACTATCTATTAAAGCTTAATTGAACACAGAACTTGTGGGCTAGTTAGAACTCATGAACTTGGCCCTCTGCATTGGATACGGCGATTATTACAATTGTAAGTATTTTGCCCTTCTATATATGCTTCTGTACTAGTACCACGTAGTAGCTTGTCCATTAACGGTTGATTGGGGCATAAAGACATACCATGGGTGTATCGCTCGCGCCAGGGTTTGGCAAGAATGCTGTACAGGAGAGCGATTTCCAAGAGATAAATTGTTCCCCTTATAACCTGGACCATGCACTTAGTGCAAGTACACTCCTTTTTTATTTTTTATGTCAAAAGTTGTTAAGTGAGCAGGTGGTTAACCTGATGTTAAGTGAATACCGCCGCCCGTGGACAACTGCTACACCCGAGGGTTTGCAGATGCGTTGACAACCTTTTTGAAAATTGGGCCCCAGCTATCTCACTCACCAGACGAAACGCGAAAGTATTATACTTCCACTTCACGCCAGTCTTCTGTGAGGTCGTGGTACATACGCAGACGAGCCTGCCCATTCGTGCCACAGCCGAGGCTGATGCGTTTCCCTACCACAGTTTAAAAGTAGTTAACGTGCCAGTAAACTACTTTTTTCATGTCATTTAAAAAAGTATGGATTTCTGGAACATCAAAATAATATATTATATAAGACATTCGAAGTATGTTTCAATTTACGCCAAAGCTGGTGACGTTAAATTTTTAAGCGAAATGTCACTTCTTGGCATTAATTCAATTTGCTATGAACTCTTTTCAAATCGCGTAAAACTTATGAGGGATTGGCAATGTACCAAAGTGTTTTAGGGATAAGCATTTGGAAATTGTTCAACTGGGTACATTTGAGAGGTGGTGTTTTGGCGAAATGAGTAAATATTTCTAGTCTGTGCATTATTATGCAACGGATACTAAGACTTCTTTCATTTTTTCTTAAGTCTTAAAAAATATGAATTGGCTAATAATAAGCAGCAATAATCATCACCGCAGCATCCTAAAAATTTACTCACTCGTACTCTAGGGGACTATATTTTTAACTACTTTCAATTGTGGTTATTATGGCTTTAGTAAAAGTTATGGTGCATGGATTAAATAATAAATAAGTAAATATTTCGGGACATTTTTAAACAACTTTATATAGTCCCAAACTAAGCAAAGCTTGTACTGTGGGTACTACGTTATTGGTAAATATATTTAAACGTACTTTTCTTTTGTAAATAAATACATATTATAGATACACATATAAACAAATGCATATTATAGACAAGGTCAATATCAACTACGCCTATGGGGTAAACTACAGACAAATGACCGTGTTTTTTATAACCAGGAGGAACACTTTTTTAATTTTAGGAACAAGGGGACAATGCTTACGAATACTTGTGGTATTATTTTCATAATAAAGTAAGATTGGTAGTTACAAAACGGACCAAATTATGCCTTAAGTACAATTTGATTTTGGTATTTTGTGTAAAATGTATTCAGGAATTTTATAATACATTTACTGAAACTTGGATACACAATATTTGTAAGTATTCAGATCACGTAGAATGAGATCATAGAGGATTTGTGAATATTTACCCTAACTAGGCAATTGTGAATAAAGTTTCCATATAACAATTTGGTTCGAGATAGCTCCTACAATGGAAACTTGTTTCCTCCAGCAATATGCTATCAAACTTAAATTGTTACGTTGTTCGGTTTATGGTGAGTAGACAGATGTATTATGTAGTGGAATTTTTAATACAACAAATGTTGTTCATACTAGTATTAGGAACATTTTTATTTTATAAGTAGTTATGGACGATCTCTCAGTTCAACTGTAAACAACAATTTTCAAGAAAATTACATTGGTACTAGTAGCACTAATTGTCATTATTACTTCTAGTATTACTAGTAATCCGACATAAATCAATAACATTTAATATTTAAAAAATACACTGTTTTCATAATGAATTCAAATGATTTGTCAGTCTTTTATTTGAGTGCACATAACAAAAGGAAATACTTTTGTGAAATTTGTAAGTCTGTTTGGTATGCAAAACATGTAGGAAAAAACTTCCGAAATGAGTGGAATTACAGTACTTCTCGTGTATTGTGATCACGTACCAATTGAATATACTGGATTTACGGCAAGAGTTTGCAAACGAATTTTGCGGGCAAAAAGTTTTCGGTTCGTTCTAACTTCTGAAGTATCAGCTACAGTTCGAGGGACTCGACATATCGAGAAAGCTTATTTTGATGAAAATCTTTAAGATACATTTGATAAGCATAAAGGTACTTTACGGAATGTAACATTTTTTATGTATAAAGCGGGATAATGACGCTTTGGGAAGGGGTAGTTAGAAGGTTCACTTGATATTAAGTGATTAACACCGCCCATAGATTTTCATTAAATATTGTTAGATATAAGTAAGCAAGTATAAGAAAATTAAGCAAACTACTGGTGTTTTCTAATTGACATAATAAAATAAACATAAAACTATGTCTGTCAATAACAGGCAAAATACTAAAACGATAAACTTCATTTTGTACGCTGAACAAGCGTTCTGCACTATATTATATTGGATAGATAACTATATGAAACCTGTTCAATTAGTTTCGTTACGCATTTCGCTGTTCGTCGTCGTATAATAAAAAAATAAGTTGTGTCACAAATTTTGTTACGATCCTGTTAGAAATATTAGCGAAATTTCAAGATAATAACTCGCGGACTTTTCACATGACGCACGTTATACGTTAGAAGTAGCAGTAATAAAACTGATTTAGAAATAAACTTATTTTGTAAGAAAGTGTAGTAAGTAAAAAAAAAAAATAAAAGCATTACATTTTGCAGATGGTCCCTAAGTGACATAGAATAATTTGTACTAACACCGTGTTTCGTAGATAAATATAAAAAGCAGAAATAAAGGTGGTTAGCGGGCAAAGAGGTAACTGTCCTCTAATTATTTAATTAAAAATCATATCAAGTGAATAAAATTACATGTCAAATAATGACACGGCGAAAATTTATTGCCATTTTGGTAGAAACGATACTTTCACTTATCTTAATAGTTAATACCGACATCATAATGTGGGTAGTAAATGCCGGTGTGACTCTAAAGAAATTATACTTTTGTAAAAAAGTATCTAGACTTTAACTTGTTATAAGCAAGAAGTTACTTAAACAAACGAGAAATCGAATACTAGTGAAAACCGAAGTCAATACTGTGAGATAAAGTATTCGGGTACATTTATCAAAAATTCTTATAAAGTAAAACGATTACAATTAATATAATGATTAATTCAATGTAATTCTACAATTAATTTATTCCTTGTTTCAATTTATTAGAACGAATTATGGTAAAAAATTTAATCCAATGACAATTCAAATGACTTTTCAACACGTAAGAATGAATGAAAACAAGTTAGAATATGCATACCGTTGACTTTTGATTGACTAGGAAAAATTTTTTTAAGTGAGAAAAAAGCAAGTGAGTTGGCGGTTCCGCTGCTGTTTATTGATAACCACCCTTTGAAATTTGCAACACCCGTAGGATTGCAGGTGCCTTGCCACCTTATAATTAAGTGGGTTACGGGTACCTCACTCACCCGGGGCTTAGGGGCCTTTACAG